GAACTTGGGCAGGAATAGATAGGCTTTATGAAATTACATCAGGCTTAAAATAATTGAACAAGACTGGTCTGGGGGTCGACTAGATTGAAAAAAAAGACCAGTGATAACGAATGTGACTTTATTGGTGAAAATAACTGAGCAGGAAAAAATTGTGAACAGGAAAGGAAGATACGACGGAAGTTGATAATTGATCAAGATGAGCAATTCTATATACATTAAAATAACGCATTTTGGGGAATTAGCAGTCACTAAAATCCAAAGCAAAATGACATCTAAATATTGTCTGGTTAATAAGACCCCAGACCAACAAAGAAAGCGAAGCTCCATAAAAGAAAATATTGATGTACTCTCAATCCGTGTAGCCTCCAAATTCAAACAAGTCCCCTCATGACATGCTCATTGTTTGCTTTTCCTTCGGCTCTATAGCTGTTCTTCTGTAATCAAGCAAGCCGATAATGGCAAGTAGTATCACCGAGTTGAATTTTATTAAATAAACAAAAGTATCCAAATAATCTGCAATCTTATAAATAATAGGGTAAATACAAATTTATCATTAACAATAAGCCAAAAGCCGTCAATTACGCTAGAGTCTACCAAATATAATTTTAATCACAGGCCTGGCACCGGAGTTATGCCACTATTAGCAATCTCTGGACATCAATTTTACGTAAGGTTATCCTGGAAGCAATACGGATTCATGGTCGCGGTATCCGCAACGGTTGAGGAGATATGCGGCAACACCTTTGTTCTCCCAGAAGAGTGCATCAGATCAGCTTGATTAGCAAAACCTTGAACCAGCATAAGACCGAGCCAGAATAAATCGCTTTCGCTTCTGTTCTGCTTGATGACGAAGTCGAGTGGCTCGCTGTACAGAAACAGACCTGAGTAGACGGGGGCATTTAGGATTAGGAAGAATTTTTGTGTAATAGCCCCGACTTGGGAAATGCCGGATGGGAGCATCAAAGAAGGGCAGTCGATGTCGCATTTCCTACCAGGCGACCCATTGTGACGAAGTGTAGAAGCTACGCGCATATTCAGCTTAAGACTAGACAGATTAGGGCATACCTATGCAGTCCGTCATGATAATGCGAGCCTAGAGAAGCCCGTGTAACCGTGCCAACTCCCTGGAAGAGACCATAGTAGGAGCTGACCTTATCCCCAGACGCGCCAGTTTCGAAAAAAGGACTAACAAGTTCTTTTTCGTGCCCAGCCCGCCCAGGGGCTAGCATTGACTATAGAATAAGTAGCTAGAGAATCTTGCTATGTTCAAATAGGCTCCCAGGAGCAGATAATCACACTGACCAATGGTATACATGCATCAGCGGCACGCTGTGAAATATTCTGACCAGGTATCCATTGGTTGTGCCAGATACAGACCAAGAATTCTTGCATTTGGATTACCTCCGCATTTTGGTCGTTTCGACTCATGAGCTTCCCGGAATCCAGAGAGCAAAAAGAAAATCTCTGAATGCTACCAGGCCGATGAGCACACAGATAACAATCATTGTGTCCAGACAAAGGCTTGAACTATCCAAGTAATATGACTCGGTGGAGCATCGTCCACGGATAGCTATAAAGGCCGCGATGTGTACGGACTATTCCCAAAATAAAGATACTCAAGGGTCTCCATTCCCGCTGCAGAGCAAGGCCTCATCCAAAAAATTGTTAAAGCCCAAACTACTCCAGCAAGTTATGAATTGAAAAAGTAGCTAAAGTCCTAGTCGTTAAATGCTATTAAATGATTTAAAGAGTTAATACTATTAACCAATATGCTTCACAAGTTTAGGGCCTCGAGATGTCAATCAGAAGGAGGTGTGACACGTCAAACCTGCCAAGTGATGGCGCAAAGCAGGACGAATACGAATAAAGCCCGAAAAGGTCCCCCAATGAAGACCTCGGGCTTATGCATGAAGTCTCGAATTTCTTGACTAAAGTTCTCTTACTGTTTGACAATGCGAAAGTGCTTAACTCCGTGAACAATTAAACAAGACACACTGCCCAGTGGTAAGAATCCCATGGGAGGGGTAAGTTTGCCTAAGCTAAGTAACAAAACCCAAGCTTCCGAGTGGTTAATAATGCCGGCAGAATCGTATGACAAAGACTAATTATTTATCAAGCAATCATTGAACCACTTCCCTTAAGCTCATCCATAGACACGGTAAAGGTAACTGTGAAATCGCACCACGTATAAATGTGCATGCTAAGGCGAAGAGAAAATCCAGGGGTTTAACAGACTACCATACCAATCCAAATAATTTGCACAATGGTTAAGTGATGAAGCTCCGGAAGATTCAGTTAATTCAGTAACTGACTATTTTAGGGTGATGTATAAACTTCGTACTTCTATTGCCATCCCAGTCTAGCCTAGACAGGATAGAAGCAAAGGATGATGAACAATCAAAGACCCGGCCAAATCCAACAAATTGATATGTGATAGCAATAAGGCCTATGGCGATTTGATTGGATGTCAAATCTAAATAGCTACAAACTGGCAAATATATCCGTCAATTGATAAAAGAGCGGAAGGTCATCACACTATGCTAGGAAGTGACTGCATGTATTTTACATGGATGTGATGTTCCTATGGGTCGCATGAACCCTAGCCAGACTCAGGGATATTTAAGCCGCGTCCGCCTTAGTGGTGGTCCCCAATAATTGCTTACAGTCTCTTTTTCGTTTGTAATCTTAGTAACTAAGTTGACCGCGGAGCTGAATCCTCTAAAATGAACTTACTAAAACACTGTGTTAGACACGAGTGGAGCAAATCCAGATATACAAACCCACATTTTTCATATTCTATTTTCGATTACTAGATAAGGTTATAACGATAAACAGTGGCACTTTATGGCTAAACTTCCAGCTGATATTCAAAATTTACGATAGCAAGTATCAGCGGGCTAATGCTACGACAGAATTGAAAGGGTCGCACAAAGAACTTATACGGACGAAGCGAATAGATAGTTTCAATTTTAGTACCATATGTAACCAATAAAGAAAAAAATAAAAGGTAATATGGGGTCAAGGGAGGGAAATTTGTACAGAACAAAAGATGTACAAGAACGAGTCAGAACTCGTGAGGGACTAGTGAGTGAGGCTGAAGTAGGAAGGCAATTTAGCTGGTGTATAGACGTATCGCCGATGAAATGAATCGTGAGATCTAGCTGGGCGAGACGTTGCAGAAGCGACGACTTGGTTCTCGAAGAATCATGTGTCAGTACTATCGACGAGCGGTCAATTGAAGAGGCTGCTGTGGTAGCGCAGATTATGACGCCAAAACTGGGATGACAAGACGAATATATACTTCAATTGAAGTTAGATTTAGCTAAGAGCTCTTCTCAATAAATACATTGTTGGAAGTGGCAGTGGGCATCTGATTGGAGTAGGGGGATTGATCTGGTATTGGGTCAGAAGCGGATCCGGGTAGATCTGATAGATGTAGGCAGGTTACGAGAAGATAAGTGATCGACAACCAAGGTGAATGGGTCAAGTCTGAGTATAGTTATTGTCAGTCTGTGTAGGAGAGGAGAAATCTGGTGAAAAAGGCATGATGCATGAGATGATACATTCGGTCTCAATCGAATGTATGATTAATCATAAGTATGGGGTCAGGATGAAAAATGCAATTTTGGAAAATAGGCTTGATGCCACATCGAGGGGACAAGCAAGTGCGGCTGAGTGACTAAAGGGCATGGCAACAGGATATTCAAAAGGGGCAGAGCGCTCTCAAATTCTAATAAATCCATAGAATAAGGTGAGCAAGAAGGATTTCTAAATTGACCCCAAAGATAACTGAAGGGGGATTTCCTCAGAATTGTAACTGTTCGAAGAACTCAGTTCGCAATTTTTTCGTAAATTATGGTTTTTGACTCCTAAGGTGTCTGCTAAATGACAAAGAGGAAATAATCATTGATTAATCGAGACCAGAGGATGGTGAGCTGAGGTCTTTTTCAAACAATCACACCTCCAAGGTGATCCTCCGTTGGTCTCCAGTAAGGCTTATTTACGAATCCATTCTACCAGCCTTCTCGAACAAAATAAAAGACACGCTAGTATCAATCATTAAGGGGCTTTGTGAAGCCTGAATTCTCTATATATCATTGCTTAAAAAAATGTAAATACAGAACGCAACGTTTCTAAGGAGACAAAGGGCTTATAGCTGAGCGTAAAGATAGATAGACATTGTAGTAATAAAGTTGCAGAGTTTAAACAGCAGAAACAAATATAGGAAGTTGAGTAAAAAGTATGACTGACAAAAAAATTGTGAAGAAAAAAAGGTATACCAAATAAAAGGAAACTATTTAGTCATCCTGGAGTATAGTCAGTGCTGTTGCAATCCAAGTGGTATATGAGCATTAATGAATGCAAAATAACTGCATGTATGTTCAATGAACCCCTTTAACAGTGTATGATCATACTACAGGCTCTAATCATGAGTAGAAACGTAAGTTGAGTGGGACCATCATTCACTTCACTCATCTAAAAGCATAAACAAAGGACAATGAAGTAGCCAAAGTATAATCAAGGTAATATGAAAGTAAGTTTTAAGAGGTGGTTGGGATTGCAACCTGCCACTATTCTTGGTTCGAGATATTTTGATGGTTTGTTAGTAATATAGCCGTCTCTAACATTGTTAACAAAATGATAGCGTAAATCTTGGAACGGGTTCATTTCATAAGTAGGATGGTGCTACGAGTGAATAAGAATTGAAGGCCTTAACGTGGTAAATGTAATAAAGGGTCCCTTTAAACACAGTTTCTTCATAAGTAGATACAAGTAAATAAAAACCCAGGCAGCTGGAAACGTGCACGCCTCATACGTACCAACATAAT